TATGTTTTATGCGACAATTGCAATGAGACAACAAATCAACTCTTCTTTGAATGCAATTCTTTGTTATTGTTAATTTAATGCCGAGCATGAGAAGTCAGCTCCTTAGACCAAACATTTATCAGGTTTTTGACAGCATTAGTGAACTACAAACATTAGTTAAAAATGCCATGCAATTCTATAATTTAATTGCATGATGCTCAGTTTACTATATTTGGAGAGAAAGAAATAATAGGAAATTTGGGAATTCTTATGCTTCATCATCAACTATCTGTTACAAAATTAAAAGTGCAGTTTTCACCAAAGTTAAGAAAAGGAAAAATGGAAGTGTTTTGTTGGATATGCGCTAACGAGGCACCTACTCGGTTGCTCCTCTTCTTCACGGTTTTACTCCTAATGGTTTTGACTATGGGTTGTTCTGCTATTGTGGTTGGCAATTTTTTTTTGGGCAAGGATGACCGGATTGCTTCATGATCGATCCCCCTTGGATGGCAAGGGATGGTCCCTCTTCGCTTGTCATCTTGGCCTATTGTTCACTCCGATTTCATGGCTTTCTTCTGCAGCCAGGGGATAGCTTCGTTTTGCAATTCTTTTATCGAGCCCGCCTTCCAACCATGAGTATTTCTTTATTTTTTGTGCTTTTAGATAATTTTGGGATGTGCAGTTTTTGGTTGCACATGAATTTTTTGTGTATTTTGTTGCATATTTTTTGACGGTTCTCCTCTTTGCTTTTCTCCCCTCTTCCTCTCTTACTGTTTGTTTCTCCTTCCAAACAATCTTTTTATTTCTTCTCTACACATGTAACGGGAATGAATGGGCCTTGCCCTTAACTTGTCCCCAAAAAAAAAATATAAGAATATTTCCTTCGATACAAGAACAAAGCATATTCTACTAAACTAGTATTCTATTAGTGGTTTGCTAAATGATTGGGATCTTGAAGATGTGCTACTCTTCTAGCAATCACCCCAGCCTTATTTTACTTCTAGGTTTCTCAAATAATTGTGATAATATGATAAAATATGCTGAGAAGTTGGAGAAATGATCTCTTCATGTAAACAACTAAAAAATTATCATGTCTTATGTCATCTTCAATATGATTTATTTTTTTCATTTTGGTTACTAATTTGGTCAATAAAATATCATGCAGATCTATATAGTTGAATGTAAGTCATCATGTTTTAGCTTACATTTATAATTTTTTACTGGAGATGGCCATATTTCATATTGTTGTTGAATGAAAATCATCATAATATTCCACTGTAATTTTTTTTGCTGATGATATAGTTTTGATTGGAAGATCGCTATAAAAAGAAAATAAAATCGAATAATAAAGAAAATATTTATAAGAAAAAAAAAAAGACTTGATCAACTTAATGAGATTGAGTATATCTTCTCTAATTTTCCTTCAAATATCTGTCCATATACCCCGCTCTTCTCTAATTTTCTGTCTTCCAAGAAGAGCAAGAAGCTCTTTCTTTCTCAAAAAAATCCCAACAAACTAGTATCAGAGCTTCTTGGAAGAGAGAGAGTGATGTGAAACCATGAATTGTTTGCGAGTATTAATAAGAAATTGATTCAGTAATGATAAATTTTAACTTAATGTTTCACCCAAGTAGATTCAAAGAGGACCTTAAGAAGGAAGCTATGTGTAGGTAATCAATCACAAGCTGAAGTTAAAGAATCCTTTAAAACAACAACCAAAATAAAGTAATGAAATGATTAGTTCAACATAATCCACCAGTTAACAAAGCGATGTTTTCACATTGAGTTCCATGAATCTCTCTCTTTAAAGGTTTGATAGAGAAGCAAAGCTAATACACCAAGCGATTCCACCACAAGAAGGAAGAAGCCTCAGGTAGTAGTCATTGGAGCGGTAGTCAAAGTCGGAGAAGTAGATGGATGGTTGACAACGTACCAACGACCCGGAAGGATGTGCTCTTCAATTGAAAGCGTCAATTGATACAGGATGCGGTCCTCGTATTCTTCCACCGAGTTGTCGAAGTCCGGACTGAAGTCGAAGAAAGAAGATTGTAGGATGTCGGTCCGTCCGTGAGACTCTTCTACGAACCAGTGATCAATCTCCAGATTAGCCATTCATAATTGCCTCGAGGGAGGGAGAAGAGAAGGTTGAGGGAGGGGAAGGAGAGAGGCGGCGGCTTGCAAGTGGTGGGGTTGGTTTGTCCGTGAGGGAGAAGGAGAGGGGCCGGGTGAGAGAGGGGCGGGTGAGGGCTAGGCCTTGAATGTCGGAGAGGGATTATTAGAAAATCTGAAATTAATTCAGATTTTTCTGAGAGGGGAGAGAGGGAACAATTTGAATTTCAAATTATTCCATAAAGGGTAAGGGGCGGCGGTTTAGCAGGGGATTAAGGAGCTTTAATGGGGGGTTTTGAATTAATTAGGAGAGAGATAAGCATGGTGAGGGGGATCGTCCATGTAGAGAGGGGAGGGAGAGATTTTTATATTTAATATGTGGGCCCCAAGGAAATAAATAGGGGATTTAATCAAATCTGAATTTATTCTCATATTTAATTAAATTTGGGAGGTTTCCTATCTTAGATTTAAGTATTAGGAAAGCATTTGAAATACAATTAATTAATTGAATTCCCGTTAAGAAACTTTCCTAATTAACAAAACCTATTTTAGGAAAGGGAATAATGAGCTTTTGAAATTTGAATTTCAAATTTATGGGCAATGGGAGGGGGGCCAGCGGCTGGACTTGTGAGAGGGGCAGTTGGGCCTTGGAGGCTAGCGACTGGGGTGGTGGTGGCCAGTGGTTGGGCGGGCCAAGGGAGGCCGGCAGTTGAGAGAGGGGAGTGGCGGTTTATGGGGGAAAAATGAAGCCACGAAGAGGGGAGCCCGGCGGGTGGTTGAGGGGAAATGTTATGGAGGAATAAGAGAAAGAAGAAATCGAAGAACCGTGAATCTCAGAATCCACCAAGGTTGACGGGTATTGCTCTCACCCACCTAGGATTTCTCCTCTCAAGAACTCAAAAAGAGATCAAGCAAGAAAGTGAAAATTTTATTCATAAGCATCATTAGAAAATAATACAATGACTATGCCTTAATATATAGGCCTCCAAAAACAAAAACATCAAAGACACATATGCCGAGCTACAACATATAATAAATCCCTCATAGGGGTACAAATGGAAACTGAAATATAAATAACATAAATAAAATAAAACATCATAAATAGAGACTATGAATCATAGCCTTCGATCTACGATTTCTCCGATGGTAAGTGTGACGAAATCTCATATGGATGTCCTCATCAGAGAGAGAGAGAGAGAGAGAGAGAGAGGATTAAAGAAACTGAAATCTTATTTCCTTTTGGGCATCTTACACGTTACAAACAAGATAAAATGCATCTAAGATGCAAGATAAAATACACCTAAGATAGAATCAACCTAAAATTGGATCAATATCTAACAATTTTCACCTGAGTCCGATTTTACAAAAGAAGAAAAGAAATATATTGTCCACAAAGAATAGCCCTGTTAGTCTTCCCCGTCAATTGCCTACACCGAACGATTACCGACTTCCACAAGAACTGCTCCGCCATCTTCTCGAGTCTCTTACTACCCGAGCCCTAGCCTAGCTCCACCTCCGCTCCCCTCCATCATCTGATCACTAAAACTTGCACCTGTTGCGATGTGTCTGGTCCTGCTTCTTCAAATATTGCATCAACATCATTAACTAGTCTTAGCATCAAGAAAACTGATGTTATAATTTGTTGTTCTTCAATCACGAACAACATTATCTACTGTTGCTCTGAATCGCGCAAAAAAATGTGCATTCAAGAAATGATCCGGCTCGGCACCCATGCTCACGAGGTAGGTTACTCGTTCCCGCAGATGTCTATCGTGCCTCTTGCCCGCGCTCCTCATTTGACTGCTCCTACTCTGATCCGCCACTTTGCATGTCCTGTGATCTTCCCGCACCCTACGCATCTGCTCTAGCTTTGCTCTACGAGATGCCTACGACTGATCCACGCGTGTGAGATCAAGCTGCACGCTCGACGCCTACGTGCTCGATTCCCGTGAGCATTCGTGCGTGCCCTGTGCACGTTCAAGCGACCCTCGCTAGTCCGCCCATGCTCCACGGCCTACGACTAGCCCACCGCCCCGACTTCCGCCAACAAGTTTTGATCGTGAACTTCCGAACCCGACACCAAACAGAGGCAGCCCGTATGACTCTAGTGACTAGGCCACAACAGTGATCAGCCTTGAGCATGAGACTCCCTGCAGCTTTGAATGCAACTCAAGTCTTGTGCAACCCGTCTCATTGCCTCCCGCTTGACAGCTCCCATATCCGAATGTAATCACACATGCAAATACCCACAAGTTGCGTTTGATCTGCCTCTGAAGCTACATGTACGTCCAATGTGCTCTGGAACTCGCTTCGACTCACGCAACACCAAGCTCTCGTGACTAGAAACTTCCTCCTCCACCTAGCTTTGATACCACTTGTTGTATCTTGGAGGAAGCTAGAGCTTCTTGGAAGAGAAGGAGAGGGAATGAAGAGCTGAAATCTTATTTTCTTTTGGGCATCTTATACACTACAAAGTCATCCTTATTTATAGGCTAAAACAAGATAAAATGCACCTAAGATACAATCTACCTAAAATTGGACCAATATCTAACAGGATGGACATTGTAAAATGCATATGAAGATATAAAATGCATTTTTGTGCAAATTATTGTTTCTGTACTCCTCTTTTTTAGATGGGAATTTTACATTTGTGATTATTTAACTTAGGAAATCTTCTTCTGACACTTCAAGTTTCATATACATTGCTCCTTGACCTCGCCACCTAGTTCTTATTGTTTAATCTGATTCAGATTTAACGCAGTTACAGAGAAGCTAATGTAACTACTATTGGATACTTTGTATGCTGATAAAATCAAATGCTACAACTCTCCCCTTGATTCGGATTACAGTGTTAGTTGATTCTTGGGGATGTTTGTTTTTGCAGTTGTAGTTTTTTTTTGTCTCAAAAAAAGTTAAGAGCAATTGTGAATATAATGTATAAATAGAGCATTTGATAACAATACAAAGGCTTCATGCAGTGAAGCACAGAAAAATTACATGCATCTAGACATGGAGTTGTACAAATTAATTAGTGCACCCTTACTCTACCAGAAAACACTGCATCCTTATAGTTTCCACAAAAGACAACTAGGAACTCTAGGCAATGTATGTGCAACTTCCATTATCACTCCTCGCAGTGGGATCAAAGTTCTTTGCCTGCGGATCAGTGCAACCTTCAGGGACAGGAATCTGCACTTGCTGAGCTCCTTTACCTGTGCCATAATTTTCAAATATGTAAGTAAGCACAAATAACTAGCACATGGCTAAGTACAACACTCATGAAATCAAGTCGCAAACCTCCGGCCAGTGCCCGAGGGTTTAAGAGCTAACCATAGAAAGAACCAGTCTTCATAGCATCTTCATTGGCATCCCCAAGCGCAGCTTCACTCAAATACTTGTCAGCCAGCTGCACCCTCTTCACATTCTCCTGCTCCTGGACCAGCATGTTTCCATACTCAAGCAGCTTCTCCAAGCTCATCTTAGGCTGCTCGAATATCGGAGGTCCCTCGCGGGAATTCACAAGCCTCTTCCCAACCCTGTCAACTCCAACATCCTCAATCCACTTTCTCACTTCATCATCATAGACTCTGGCCCTTAGTGCTCCAAAGAAATCTGCAAGCAAAAATGTTGATTAGTTATTTCCTACTAGCAAATATAACAAATGTTATGATGACTAACATTGTAAAGATATCTAAATCCTTTCTAGCAACTTATTTGACATCAACTACTTACCAATGGACTGGCCTGGGAAAGTGTCAACAAGCTTCACAATGTCTTCCTGAGCAATATTATCAGTTCTGAAGATGCCAATGCAGACACCAATTCTGTCTTCTCTAGTTGGTGCCCAGTAGAATTTCTCCATACGACCATCTCGAATAAGAGGGGCATACAAAGTGGAGAAATCATTACCAGTGACTATAATAGGAACTCTAGCATTCTCCTGCTTGTTATACAGTCCCGGGAGCTGAACATTCGTTGGGTTATCGGCGATATTCATGAGGGTGGCATTCACCATTTGGTTGTTAACAGTGTACTGGGTGGTGCCTCCCATCCTTCCTGCTCCTGCATCAAGATCATTGATGAAGAGGCAACACATTTTTCCCTTCTTGATGATCTCTGCAGCCTCGCGATATCTTTGTCTGATCAATTTTGCAGGCTCTCCTGCATTGCCGCTTTCGAGTTCTCCAGCGCTCATCATGATTGGGCTTGATGAGGTTGTGAAAAAGATAATTTAGCATAGCAGGAAATTAACAAGTGCGGGATAAATTTCCAGTTAAGGAAGTCAATTTTGGGCGAGTGCTTTTTTATCTATGGATTTTCATTGGGACTAGTGCAATGCAAGAGATCACAATCAAAATCTAAGTGTTAAAATGTATCTCATAAGAATTCTTTTCCCCAAGAGATCTGGTCTAATACGATAGAGAATGAACACATTCAAATCAACAAAGGGGGTGATTACTAACATGCAAGGACGGAACCAGCCTTAATTCTCAGGAGGTCAAGTGACAAATTTATAAAAAAATAAAAATATATATAAGACAAAATTCAAAACAAAATCTTGACAATTGATTGATAGCAACTTTCCATCTACAATAACTCAACATTCAATCTCTATTGTATAGTTAATTTTGGATCCGGAATTAAAGATTGGTTTCCATATTAATTTCTTTCTTTAATTGTTAGTTCTCAATCTATTTATGAACAACTTTTCATATTATATTTTACACAAAAGATGGGAATAAAATTCAATTATACAAGTTATCATTTTGTACTCTCATCTCTTCTCACTCTAATTTTCAGACTGTAGCTCCTGATATTTTTCATGCGTCTATCTTAACATTCAATTTTTTATCATGCTCAATTTGGTTATTAGTAAATTCTTTATTGCCAACTCCGCATGATGCTAAAATTGTCACAAGAAATTGTGCAATATATACTTCAACTAAAGCTCTTTTCCTCTCCATCATTTAAATACTAAAATTTGAAAACAATATGTCAAAAGTTAAAAGCTTTAACATCTATCATGCCAAACAATATTTTGGATTTAATGGTTCCAGGATTTACTGTATGATTTGCTAACAGCAGTAACGGCCAAATGACAGCTAAGCATAAAATAATTTGAATAAAATCAAATTGTCAATTTCTGAAAAGAGGTGAAAAAATAATTCATTTTGCAAATAATCGCTTTTCACAGACTTGTTTGTCAGTGTTATAAAAATTCAACATAATTGGATGAAAATAGCAGGAGGCCAAGAGACTTTCCAATTTTTAGAGGTGTAAATTGTGTGAAAAAAGGTTGATTGGAGGCAAAAAAATAAAATTCAATGGGGCAGATTACAAATAACCCTTACTATACTAAGAGGTACATAATTCCGCCCTTGTTAACATGCTCATATTTGCAAACCTTATTTAAGACCAAATGCATCCTATTTAGGGCTGTTAATTTAGCTTGATGTTTGAGAACACCACCTTTTTAACTTGCTAATTGGCTACAATCTTGGTCATTGGTTATGTAAAAGAGCCAAGCTTCAATGGAGTTCATCATATAGTCATCTACATAGATTATTGTTGTCTTATTGTTCAACTCTACAATAAATAAGCTTCAACTTGTAACATATTTGAAATTTAACTAACTAGAGTTTGATTCAGGTTCAGTGTGATATTTTAATCGAATAGTGCCTGCTGCTATTGACAACATACAAGATCAACATGGAACATACTGCCATCATTCTTGCTTGACTGGTATCAAACTTGAAAATATTCTAAGACAGAAAACTTACTTGATTCCCATCTTAGCAAATACAAGTTCACATTGGAAGGACTTTCCCTGACCTTTGCCTCCCCAAACGCCCAAAATGAGGGGTACCTGTTCATGATTTTCACTCATCAACTTCACCCAAAGCTGACAAATATTTTGATTAACACTTTATGAACCCTGATATCTAGTTAGCATACCTTGATATTAGGCAAAGTCATGAAATTCTTAGTGATGTGTACAACAAGCTTGTCCATGAAAGCTGGAGCTATGTAAAAACCATCCACTGTGTTGTCCAGATTGTACCTGAATCACATACACACAATGATAAGTTTTAAGTCATGGAAATAATAATCTCTGTGATAATATTTTGTACTTACTATAATAACCCCGTATTTTGACTTTTTCAATTTTTTTCTGGAAAACCGTCTCGAAATAGTATTTTGATTGTAATATTTTTCTTACACAAAATTCTTCGTAATTTTTGAGAATGAATACAGAAGTGTACATTAATATTTTAAATTATAGAATATGTTGTACTGTATAGATGATATGAGATAACTCTGATTGTTGTTTATTTAAATGAAAAATGAATAGTTATTTCAAATTAGATTCTGGGGCATCACACTTACGTGCGAAGACCTTTGCTGAGGTACTCATAGGAATTCATGACAGCAACATGGGTTCCATCTCCCATGGGAGCTTGGAAGAGGGAGTCTACCATCCCCTTTCCTCTGGTTATGTCCTGCTGGTCATCTGATTGATCATAGGCAAGCCCACCCCACCTGTCCTTCTGAGTCTGCTTCGTCTCGTCGAGGTCAGCAGCCAAGACCTTGAAGGTTCCAGCGGTGAGTCTCCCATGGATGATACTTTGGTTAACCTTCTTCAAGTTGTTGCCAAAGAAGGTTGAGCTCGGAGCTGAAGTTGCCGAGCCCGAGCCATGAAAGGTAAGCTGCAACTACAAAAGCAGAATCAAATTCTGAATATGAATCATTGAAACAATCAGTATGAACTGAAGCGATCAAAGCATGCCATGTATTATTCTATGCTTTCAACTTGAGATCTGAAACTCAAGAACCAAAAATATGTACAAGCACTCCTTGAAGCTCATAATAAAGAGGAATTTGCTTTTAAGAGAAGATCAGAAACTACTGAACCAAATGAAAGAAGAAGAAGAAGAAGAGAGGACAGTACTGGAACTCGGTTGACAGCTCCGATGGTCGAGACGGCGGTGGCCATAGCTGAAGGTGAGGGAAGAAGATCCTGTGGATTAAGCGCACCGAAGATATGGGAGGCTTATTTAAGAACAGTGTACTGAAGTTCTTGATAGGCTGGGTGGGAGTGTGGTTGGCTGTGTTTTTCACATTTGTGGCTGGATTTGGATGGTTTTAGCGGCCACACAATTTGGATTGGGTTTAAACACGTGGCTGTATCATGGTCGACCATTGTTGCTTATTGTAATTTATAATTGGCCTGAACAGTTGGACAAAAGGATGGCTCTGATTCATTTACTTCGAGTTCTTATCCACAGTGTTGTTCTCACGCTTCATCACCATAGAGAGAGACAATAAATTATACATATTTTAGTAAAAATGAGAGGCTGAAGCATTCGGATCTGCTACTGGCCTATATTTTATTCATTTTCTTAATTGCAAATAGACGTTTTCAGCCATTTTTTTTTTTTTCAAAATAGAAATCCTTACTGATAATGAAATCAAAAGACGCTAAGTCAAAAATTGTCCACTAATTTTTTTTTTATTTATCAAAATAGAAATCCTTACTGATAAGGAAATCAAAAATTGTCCACTAATAAAATGAATACATCTTCTACCATTTTTCCCTTCCCCAAAATATTAATAACACTAAATTTTAACACCAGATTAATATATAATTAATATAAAATGTGTGCACCACAATGTACCTTAGAAATGAAGGCATCTCTATTAGTTAGGTGTTGCTTTGATGCTGGAAATTTAAGTGAATTAAGTATTACTCTATTTTAAGGTCCTCATAGATTATGTCTAATTGTGAGGAAACCGTTTTGTAGTTTGTGCAAGGGGAAGACTCTGCAAGATACATCACTTAAGCAAAAATCAACATTATACTTTCTTTTAAGGCAACATGATTGTAATTAGGAGCATATTTGTTGTGATTGGTCCAGTTATAGGTTTGTGGTTCCTTAGGTGCATTTTATCCCTGTAGTTTGATTGTTTATAAATAGAGATGATTGTATTAGGTTTTAGATTGAAGCCATTAAGCACTAAAGATCAACATTGTTCTAACCTTTCTCCCTTTCCTCCCTCTCCCTCTCCCTCTCATCCAAGAAAGCTCTAGGAACTTCAACATCCTCCAAGAAAATCTAACAAGTGGTATCAGCGCTAAGTGGAGGTGGATGAAGGTTCTTAGATATATACATCAAGAAAATAATTTTGGAAGTTTGTAATTCATATATACATCATGATTCCCTACTGATCAAGATGATTTTTTTGTGATGTATCAAGTTCATTCAAGCTTTCTAATTGACAATTTAGTAAAGAATAAGCTTTTCTCGTTTACTGAGGTCTAATTTGGTTGAAATTCATAAAGTGTTTGCAACTGTACAATATCCTAAAGATTATATTTTTTTCAATGTTGTGCTCCTAGTAGAATCGCTGGCACTAGAACAAAGAGGAAGGAGGAAGAACAAGAATGAAATGGAGAAGATAGAAGCAGAGAAAACTTATCTTATTCATGTGTAAATGTTTAGTACATAAGTATAAATAGACAAAGACAGGTAGAGATACATGTGTACATTTATCATTGGATATCAAGAATGGTGTTTACATAAGTAATATAATTGTTTGTTATTACGGTCCATGAAATAAGGGTGTCTCCCAAAAAAGTGCAATAGTAAAAATGAAGTTTGAAACTTAGCAATCCAGATAATTAGGTTGCCCTAGTAAACCAAAAGCTGCAGGATGATTACAATGACGATCCTATTTTTGAGAATAAGTATGGACGTTAATAATCAAGAAAAAAAAGAAATAAATATAGACTTTGCTATTATGCAACAATATTAAAAGCATCTCCCTTGCCTGCAAAACTTGGAAGAGTATTCTTATTTATAGAAAATGGTTAACCATTTAAAGCTAAATTTAAAACATAAATTACAATAACAATGTCACAAATACTATAAATCTCCTATAAACTTACAGGAAAACACATAGAATATTCTAAAAATAAGGTCACTGATTGAAAAAAAGGTGTATATGATAATTTCTTTGTTTGGGAGCTAAGAGGAAATATGGAAGATCTATTATTGAGTTGTATATTAAATTTGGAGCAGAATGCTCTGGGGATCTATAAACAGTTGTCGAAAGGGGAAAAGGAATACTTTGCTAACAGCTCAAACTCCCTTTGTAGAGAGAGATAGTGAGAAACTTATTGGTGGAGGAACACTATATTATTTATGATGAGTAATAGCATAAATTTTTGTTACTAACAAAATAAATTTTTTGTTACTTCCATGTGAAATCTGATAATGTTGATCAATCGGATTATACTATTTCCTCGGACCTCAAGTTATTTTCTCGTGCTCATTGGGGGGTGCTAGAGGTTTACCCCCTGATTGGGTTTGGGTTCTTTGCTCTGGTGTTGCGTACCAGAGCGCCCCAACATTGTGTTCTCGAGCACCCCAGTTCTGATTGACAGAGAGAATAGCGTGGAAACGCTCTAGATTTAGTGTCACAGTGTTGCAAGTTTGAGCACTGCAACATCATAATAATAGAGACTTGAGCACCAAAACTCTCAAAACTAATGTTATAGCACTTTGAGGTTGATTGAACATTTTTTTTTCTTTTTTTACTCAAGGGTTGCATACCTTAGAGTTATTAACTTGACTTTTTCTTGCATTATGAGTAAGTTAAAATAGGAGAACTGTGAGAACGGTGTAAGAGAGAAGATAAACAAGGAAAAAATACGATAGAAGAGAGATATTTACTTATTTCTCCTTATTTTTATAGTGGATTTCTAGGTGTGGTGTGGCTCTGTGGTTTTTACTATTTTGAGTTTTTCCACATTAAATCCTGGCGTCCTTTTACTTTATCTTACTTTTTAATTTCTTTGTTTATTTCATCGCATTGTTTTACTTATATTGTATTTGGTCCAAGATTTAATACATTGTACTTTCTTTTAGTTAGTTTTCTTTGTAGCCTTTTATGATATATTGGTTAGTTTCTTGTGTAGCCTTTATTGTTACTATTTGTGCCTATATATAGACACCAATAGCTTGTAATAAGCATATATTAAAAAAAGTCAATAAAAAAGAAATCTATTTAGATTTCAATTCTCTCTCCCTCACTCCCCTCTCTTAAGAAGCATGTTGACCTCGTTTTTCGCTCGAGTTCCCTCGAGCACCTTTGATCGACTTGATTGAATTTTGTCGAGTCTAATTCGAGTTCGAATCGACTCGAATTGAGTCGAATTAGACTCGATCGTATTCAGTTAGGCTCGATTAATTGGCTTTGGTCGTGTCGAGCCCGATTCAATCTAAATCAATAATCTTTTTTTTTGAATTTAATTTTATAATCAATTTTTGTTGCGTCGAGCTCGATTCGATAAAATTATTGATTATTTTGGACTCAATTTCGTTCGATTAGTTTCGTCGCGCCGGCTCGAGCCAAATTCGACTCGAATTGAACCAAATTTGGGCTCGAGCTTAACTCAATCTTAGCCAATTTTAATCTGATTCAGCCCGATTCGACTCGATTAAGAGCCATTTGACTTTCCATTCGTTTTGAATTTCCTTCCTAAATCAAGGAATCGCCTCGACGGCCATGATCGAATGAAATATTTGTTTCAGCCCAAATCCCGCTTTCCAGTTGATTTTCTGCGATTAAGGCAGACGTCGAGCAGTGAGCAGGTCTTCTTCGGGCATAATCTCGGAAGCTGGAACACGAGATGAAGAGGCGGGCTTCTTCTTTCGGAAAAGGGGTTCGTTTTACCAGGAGGAAGGCTCTCACGCTCCAGGCTTCTTCCGGACTCCCTCTCTCTCTCGATCTGGCATTCTCTCCCTCTCTCTGGATCCCGAACCCCCTCTTCTCCCTCTCTCGTGCTCTCTGTCCCGAGCCGGCGCCCGGAAACAGCCAAGGCCGAAGCCTTGCTTTGTCCGACGACAGCTCCGCCGAGACCAGCAGCCACCCGAACTTCCTACTTCCGTCACCTTGGCCGACGCCAAGCCAGACAGCCGAACCGGAGCTCCCTGCCCTGTCCGACGGCTGTTCCAGCTTCCAGTCATCCCGAGCCCGAACGCCTAGGTGCCAGCCCCGCCTCCTCCGTCTCCCTCCATTCGCGTGACCAGCAACGAGAAGAAGGCTCATCGTCCACCCCAAAGCCCAACTCCGCTGTGAGTATTCTTCTGCTTCTTCTTTACCTACTCTTTCTTCCTCCTCTCCTTCCTTCTTCCTTCTTCCTTCTTCCTAGTCTTCTTCTCCTTCTCCTTTGCAAAAATCTGAGAATAAACTGTTTATTCTCTACCAAATCTGAGAGCAAAAATCGCTTTAGGCTATTCTTTTTGCCTTTATGTTTATGGCTTTTTGATGAAGTAATTGTCATATGAATTTTGATAAGACTTTGGTGAGTTATTTAGAGAGTTTTAGTTGAGATTTAGATGTGAACCATGACTCTTATGATAGCTTGTTTTACATGGTTTTACAAACTTTGCATATACGGTATTTGGTGAAATTCCTTTAAGGATTTTTTTTTTGAGATGTTTGGTGGGTAACTCATGGAGCATGTGAAACTTTATTTGGCCTTTCATGAGTCTATGCATCATTTTGTTTGTTAATTTATTTTTTTCCTCAAACAAAAAAAAAGAGCAATCAGAAGCTTCTCTAATTAGGTGTTTGGAGCTCTTTACTATCGAAATTTCCTTGTCAAGTTTTATTGAATCCTTTTCCTAAGCTTGGAATGATGACAAAACTTGGAAGGCCATGTTCTTTCTTTTACTAAAATATGCTTGTGAAGCTACTTAATCAAGTATTTGGTGAAGCGTCACTTGAAAAAGTGGCAAGGTTGTTTGGTTCGTAAGCTTCGAGTGACCAACACGTTAAGGATCATGCTTTCTTCTCTTGTTGGAAATGTTGATTCCTTGCTTCGAAATTTATTTCCTCGTATCTTCCACTTGATATGGAGTTTGATGTGGCATGCAAGCTTATGTGCTTGGAAAGGTTGAATATCTGTGTTGGAATCAATCCTTACATGGTACAAGAAATTTTGATCTAATTATGGCTATTGAAGCTTTGTCCCTTATAATGATAGAATAATAGCCTATAAAAAAATTCAAGATTGCTAAATACTTGTTTAGACAAATGG